CATGTATATGAAATTTAACTCCGAGTAGATTAGTGACTTAAACTTCAAATACGAAGTTTTAAAACTTTTAGTAGACTTTATAGGTGAGTATCTCTTAGAGTCTGTAATTTAGCCCTTGAGGAAAGGGAATAGTTCTTAAAGACACACACACACACACACACACACACACACACACACTGGATTGAGTACTTTGAAATTAAGAATTTTGATCATTAAAGGCATTTAAAAAGAGAGCCAAGTTACAAACTGGGAGAAGATATTTTGCAATATATCTGAGAAAGGACTAGCATTAAAAATTCCTTCAAATCTATGAGAAAAGCACATATAACCTAATAGAAAAATAGGCAAAAGATAGGCAAATAGGCTTTTTTTTTTTCAGAAGAGGAAACACACACAGATAATAAAATATGAAGAAATGCTCAATCTTACCGATCGGGTAAATGCAAATGAAGACCACATTGAGCTAAGACTTCGATTGATGAAAAGTCTGGAAAAGCAAGTGTTGAAGAGGAAGTGGATCCCTTCAAAAGCCCTCCTACACAGTGCTAGTGGGAGTGCAGGTGCATGTCTGCTTTGGGGAAAAAAAAAAAAACCTTGACATTATTATTTTTTTTTAGTGATTTTCTTTTAAACTTTAAAAAAAGAGATTTATTTATTTATTTTTAGAGAGGGAAGGGAGGGGGAGAGAGAGAAACATCAATGTGCGGTTGCTGGGGGTCATGGCCTGCAACCCAGGCATGTACCCTGACTGGGAATCGAACCTGCGATGCTTTGGTTCACAGCCCGCGCTCAATCCACTGAGCTACACCAGCCAGGGCGACATTATCTTTTAAAACCGAACCTTCACATAACTGGGACCGGACCATTCTGCTTTTAGGAACGGACCTGAGCAGGCCAAGGAAAGCCCTCACGTGTCTCTAACAGGAGACACGGGCAAGAACGTTCCCAGCAGCACTGGGAAGACCGGGAAGCAACTCGGTCGCCCATCAGTGAGAAATCAAAGTGGGGTACGTTCACACACTGTAATATCATACAATAGCAAAGGTGATTGAACTACATACATAAAGATGGCTGAATCTTACCCACATTATGTTACATTCAAAAAAAAGTATCAAAAGGATACGAAGGCATGTTTTCCCTTTGCAACAGACTTTATTTTTTAGAGCAGTTTTAGGTTTATAGAAAGAGTGCAGGAGTTACAAAGTTCCAATATACACTCTTCCCACCAGCATAGTTTCCCCCTTTGTTAGTGGTCCACTTGTTGCAACTGATGAACCAATATTGTTATGCTACTAATGAAAGTCCATAGTTTACATTAGGATTCACTTTGTGTTGTGTGCTTCTCCGGAATGTCACATCGTTGCAATCACACAGTGTGTAGCCTTTTAAGACTAGCTTCTTCCACTCGGCAGGATGCAGTTACAAGTCCTCCATGTCTTTTTGTGGCTAGACAGTTCATTTCTTTCTGTCACTGAGTAACATTCCACTGGCAGGAAGCACTAGTTTACCCATTCATTATGGAATCTTGGTCGCTCCCAATTTTTATGAATAAAGCTGCCGTAATCGTTCATGTGCATGTCTGCATGTGAACATAAGTTTTTAACTCACCTCGGCAAACATGATGGGGCTATGTTTAGCTGTGTAAGAAACTCCCTAGATAGCTTCCAAAGTGGCTGCACCATTTTGTGTCCCCACTGGCAATGAATGAATGCCTGTTTCTTCACATCCACACCAGCATTTGGTGTGTTTTGGATTTTAGCCATTTTAACAGCTGTGTAGTGGGCGCATTCCTTTGATTACGTCAAAAACAATTCAGCCCTGGCTGAGTAGCTCAGCTGATTAAAATGCTGTCCTGATATGCCAAGGCTGAGGATTCAATTCCCAGTAAGGACACATACAAGAATCAACCAATAAATTAAAAAAAAAAAAGCAGTCCTGACTGGTATAGCTCAGTGGGTTGGGCATCGTCCTGCAAATCAAAAAGTCACTGTTTTGATTCCCAGTCAGAGCACATGCCTGGGTTGCAGGCCAGGTCCCCAGTGGGGTGTGTGCAAGAGGCAAGTCATACATTGATGTTTCTCTCCCTCTTTCTCCTTCCCTTCCCCTCTCTAAAATAAGTATTTTTTTTAAGGAAAGGAAATGTAATTGCTGCCATTACAACTTTTTTCAGGGTGGAGGGTTCACGGCTATATTTTACATTGTTTAAAAGTATCTAACTTAATAAAGGTGGGTGTGGTGGGCTGACCAATGGCCCACCAAAGAGGTCTGTGCCCTGATCTCCAGGACCAGTAAAAACGTTCTGGTAGAAGGGGCTCCGCTGATGTGATTAAGGTTCTTGAGACGGGGAGACTGTCTCGGCCCAGAGTGACCACAGAGGGTCCTCCCTTGTACACGGTGTAACACACAGACACTGACAACAGTGTGGCGACAGCCAGAGGGACGGGGTGGGGGCAGGGGGAGGTGGGCAAAGCGGGTATAAATGGGGACGGACGGAGACTTGCTCCGGGCGATGGGCGCGCACACACTGGGTGCACACACACAGGGCGCAGACGACATCCTGTCGAGTAGCACACTTGAAACCTGCAAGCTTTTGGGGGCTGGTGTCACCCCAATAAATCCAGTTTAGAAAAACAAAAATACACACACACACACACACACACACACACAAAGTGTCCTTCCTTGTAAGTCGAAGAGGCAGGACTATCCGTCAGAAAGAGCTGGAGAGCCTGAAGCAGAGGTCGGAGAGGACAGATGCTGCTGCTTGTGAAGATGGAAGGAGCCAGACGCCAAGATGCAGGCCGCCTCGAGAAGCTGGGAACTGGAAACGGCAAAGAACCCACCCTTCTCCAAACTTCAGAAGGAACCAGCCCTGCCATGACCTCGATTTCAGCCCGGGGAAACTGACTGCAGACTTCTGATCTCTAGAGCTGCAAGGTGACACATTCCTGCTGAAAGCCACTAAGTTGCTTGTAGCAGCAGCAGGAAACTGAAACGAACAGGAGTGGGGCAGGCATGGATCACTGACACATGGGATTGCGGTAAGTACAGCTGTATACCTAGATCCAGTGGAAAAACAAACAAACAAACAAACTGAAGCCTTTGAAGAGCTCCTCACCGCCTGGAAAACAAGGCCCAAACCCACCAGCTCCACATAAACCCTTAACAAATGCCCGCCCTCTTCTCCAACTTAGCTCACGATCCCTATTCCATGCCTTCCCCCCACTCCTCCCTCCGAAAAATAAAAAACAAACAAACAAACAAACCAAGCCACACAGCTTGGCCCCGAGGCTTGGCCTCTGTGCCCCTTTGCTGCTCCCACTGACTCTTACCGGGGCCCAATGCCCTGGCCACGGCCTCTCGGAAGCCTCCCGTGTAGGCAGGAATCCACGCTCCCGCCTGGCTGGCCTTAAAACGCTGCTGCTGCGCTGTTGGCTGCTCTTACCGGGTTGGGGTTCGGGGTCGGCGGGGCCCGCAGCGCGCCGCGGCCGGCCGAGTCGGCCCCTCGGTGCGCGTCTGCAGAACCAGCTCCCGAGGCGGTTTCCCTGGGACCCCTGAGCTCGGGGCTGGAAAAGCCTGTCTTCATGAAGACAGGTTTTCATGAAGTTACAAGAGCCGGTACGAACTCGGTACCGCTCTCCTAGAGGCCTGCGGTGGGAGCTGCGGAAAGAAAAGCGTTTCCAACACTTAACTGCGTGCTGGAAAGAAAAGAAAGAAAAAAAAATCCCAGAGGGCTGCAGAGCCAGTGGGAACGTGGCCTCCCACGTGCTCCAGCGAGACTTCACTCGGTCCACACGATAGATCCGTAGAAACACAACCTTAAGCCTGTGCACACCGCTGCCCAAAGGTTTTGTTTTGTTTTTTGTTTCCACTCTAAGAATTGCATAAGGGGGTAGGAGGGTATCGCCGCTGCACCTTACGCGGACTCATCAAGTCGCTTTAATGGAGGGAGGACGGCTCGTCTCACCCGCTCACCCCAGGAAATAACGGATGGGGAAACCTCTGGCAACGTGTACGGTACTCCGCGACGCAGGCTACCGAAGCTGGGCCCTGCTGGCGGAAGAGCGAGCCCGAAGGACGCGGCCGGCCCTTGGGAAGCCCGAGGAGAGCCTGGAGAGTGCAACTCCCGGGCCACCCCCCGCCCGAGGCCCGGCTGAGCTCCCCAGGCCCGCCGCGCGGGGTGGCGGTTGGCGACTGCGGCCCGGACGTTCTCACAGAGGGCCGTCAAGCCCTGCCAGTTCGGACGCCATGCGGAGCCAGCGCACACACCGAGCCGCAGTTGAAGAAACCGCTCTCGGGGCTGGGAGGAGGCGGAGCAGCAACTCGGGTTGAGCCAACTGAAGAGTCTTAAAATGCTGGTCGCAGGCCTCGGACAGCCCCCAGCGCCAGGCACTCTGGGACTCGTAGTTTATGTCCCGGACAGCTTTTCTGACCACCTCGTTGGCCGGCCTTCTAACATCGCCTTTATTCTCGCCCTCCCCGCCCGGCACGCCGACTCCCTGGTCGCCGCACGTCCTCACGTACGACTACACTACCCAGAAGTCTCTTCTTCGCGTCCCAGCGCGGCGCCCGTCTCCTTTGGACTACAGTTCCCAGAAGTCCTCTGGAGAAGTGCTTCCCTCTCTCCTTTCCAAGACCACAATTCCCAGAGACTTCAGTTTCACGGCGATTGTCTTCTTACTCTATCTCTCCCTGAGCTGGCCAGGCTTCGAGCGGCCAAGAGGCGCACGGCGACGACGTGACCCCTCGTAACCGGACACGGGGTTCCCTCAGCGGCCCTTTTACCCCCTCGCTCAGTTATCCCCTTTGCAGGCCGTCGCGTCTGGCCTGAGCGGTGACCTGGCGGGCCGCGCCTGCGCTGTGCCCCGTTTCCTGCCTGGCTGGTGGCGGCAGCCATTTTGTTCATCCTCCTCCTCCTCCTGCTCCTCCTGGTTGGAGCGCAGTGTCCGGAGCAGGCTGGGGGGAGAGAACCCGAGAGCAGGGTTCGGTGCCTTTTCCTCTGACCCCCTCTGGTGCCCGGAGTCCCCCTCCCCTTCCTCCCCACCCCCTCCCCTCCCCAACCCTGCCCTCCCCCTTGTCCCGGGATCACTCCGTCGCACCCACCATGATGGAAGACGACGGGCAGCCCCGGACTCTGTGAGTACCCGAGATGAGGGGTGCCTGGCGCCGAGAGGCCCGGGCACCGCGGGACGCTGTGGGAGGGAACAGGAGAGTGGGGCCGAAGCCAGGACTTCCGGCGGCTCCCTGGCCGGGGTAGCGGGGACGCGAAGTGCATTCCTCATTTGTCCCCTTTTCCTTGGGAAGGAAGCCCTCCCTTCCCCCAACAGTCACTTCCTGGGGCCTGGGGTTTGTTTCGACCTTTTCCTCTCGTGCCCCTCTTTGCACTCTTTTCCTAGGCTGGGTTTCTGCACAGCAGAGGCTGTCAGGCCCGGGAGAGGTCCAGCTCTGCTTGAGGGGCCCTGGGCTGGGCCGGGAGCTGTCCCCTTGGGGGCAGGGCCTGGTAGGGGTGGGACCGGGGGTGGGGCCGCATCCCGCGAGCCCCGACGAATTAACACTCCTGTGCTCCGGGTCCCCCTGCTCCATTCGCTCCCAGCTCTTCTCCCAAGCTAATCTCTCCGAAGAAGCTGCACACTCTTCGGCGGCTCAAGCCCTTACTCTCTGCCCCCACGTGCCCCCGCCCACGCTGTCAGACACATTCGCCAAGCGCCCGCTACTTTTGAAGTGCGAAAGGGATGCCTCTGGCCGCGGGAGCATCTTTCCCTTCTTGGATAACGAAGTTTACTTCGAGCTCTGCCTACGCTAAACTGACAGCCAGTTGTCAAATTGCATTTGCCCTTTTGGTGTTAACTCTTCTTAATCTCTTCGTGTGTCGAGACCTTCAGAGTTGGATAAAATGATGTCTTTTTATCCACTATTCGTTGTGTGTCTTTTAAGCGCTTTTTCTTCTAGCTTGCTGTTGCTTTTTACCTGGAGCCCAATCTAATGAATGAATTTCATCTTCCAACCGCTGATACGAGTTTCCTTCCTAATGAAGACTGATGACTCAGCGTTTGCATTCCTTTCCGGATAGTGTGTCCCTCCTTTCTTTTTCCCTGCACTTTTTTAAAGTCAGTAATTTCTAATTAAACGTTTAAATTGGGAACCTCTCGTTTTCCTACCCTCTGGAAGCTCAACACACCTACCTCCAGTGCAAGGGGTCAGATCGCTGCTTTGTTTTCTCTTGCCTCTGCCTGGTGTTAGGATCACAGTTCACCTGGCTCTGCTGTTCAACAGGGAAGTTACTTTTGGGGAGTAGGTGAAGGCGGGTGGGAACCCAGGAAACTGGACCAGCTTCTCATCTCTGTAGTACCACCAAAGAAAAGTCCGCTCCGTCAAGTACATATCTGTTCGATATTGATCCAGATTTTCCTTTCGTTTTGGCGGGGTTTGCACTTTTTCATTCCTACTTCTCTGTCTCACTAAAGCATTTGTCATCCTATTTTGAGAATCTGAGGGCAACTTAAGAACATCAAATGCTTGAATGAAAAGCCTGCTCAGTGAAACTTTGTTTTGTTCTGTCTTTCATTTCAGCCTTCTTTTCCCAGAACAGAGAATTAGGACGAATTGAAATTTGTCTTTAACATCTCTTGGAGCCAAGGCCTGGTATTTAGTTAACAGTGTGTATTGGGTGGAAGCATCTGGGAAAGCTGAATTTAGGGCCTAGCTAGCATGTATTTTAAAAAGATAAAAGTTACATTGTATCTAAAACTCTGAACTGTCATCATTGCATCATAATAGCTGCTGAATAATTGGTAGATGCTCGTGGCATATTTTTCACTAACTATCTGTTCCTTATGAGGAGACATTCTTGTTTTCGCCATGCTAAATAATGTGCTATTTCAATACTTTTAATTCATGTACTTAACTATCTTTGCATCTGCCTTGTCTTCATCTCCATCGTACCTTAGACTTTCTCCAATAGACGGATAAGGTAACTTCTTTGAAACTTATTTCCTACCTCCGGTTTCCTGGTTTCTTCTCAAACACACTGAAGTTGTCTGTGTTTTACAGCTGGCTAGAAACGCGACGTGTGCCCACATAAGTAAGGAAACGTCCTGAGCGGCGGTGCCCCCGTGTGTCAGTCCATGCTCACACCTCTGTCCTCCTTGTCCTCCTCCCACTCTCCTCGCGGGAAGGGGTGTTTTTTTTTTAGACAAAGACTGCTCCACCTTCCTAGGTCTTCCCCCTGCAGCACTTAGTTCACTGCCTGGAAGATAAGAGGTATTCAAACGTTTTACAATGATTATACTTCTTTTCATTACGTTAGTATTAAGTCCATTTTTAAAGAACTCCTGACTGTGGGCAGGTATGCCTGTCATCCGTACATGGTGCTGTCCGTTGATTTTATATATATTTTAAAATCTTCGAATGTAAAATTTTGAGGTAAAAGCAGATGTTTCACAACTGGGATTTTTTTTTTTGGTCAGATTTTAATTTAAAAAATGCATAGTAGTTTTTTTTAAGTGTTTATTTTACATATTCTTAGAATTCTTTAGATACAAGTAATGTAATGAAAACTTTGAACGTGACTTTAGAAGTTGGTATCTATTAGGGTTTTATTTGTTCATTTATGGAGCTCCTTTTATTTTACATTGTGACTATGGATTAGTTTTTCAAGTGGCTAGTATGTTTTAAAAAAATGTACTCTTAACAAAGCTTATCTTAAACTGTTCCTTAAATGCCTGTGTGTTACTAGTGAGGTTTTTTTCCTGCAGACACACACAAGCTAAGACATATGGTTCTATCATCAGAAAACAATATGGTGTTTATAGCCTAGGTAGGTCTTTAAATATTCATTACCTACAGTATTACTAATTTATTTATAGTATTTAAAGTGGTATAGAATTGCTTTGATGTTGAGCCTAAAGTTTTTCATATAGTTGCTTTAAAGGTCTATTTTCTGATGCTCTCCGTTCTTAATTGACATTTTATCTGGGGGTGGTGTGGGTTGGGTAACTGTGACCTGAAGCAAACAAACCAGACAATGCCATGTGACGCTGGCGTTGGGACGAGACTGGCCAACCCCGGCCTCGGCCTCGCAGGACACACGTTTCAGCCGTGTGGCGGGTGGCTCTGCGTGCAGTGATTGGAGCCACGGTATATCTGGGTGTGTCACGCAGCGTTAAATTGTAACGGCGCCCCGTTGCCGTTGACTCACGCAGTCTCTCCGGTGTGCCAGAGTGAGGAGGAACGGTGGCTCTGGGATTGTACCCTGTCATGCAATGCCACCTTTCGGGCTGCTCTTCCTGGTGCTCGGTCCGAAGGAGGAAATAAAGCAAAGTGTATAAACTGAGTAGCTGAGGGCAATAGCGGAAGAAAATGCTACTGAGTCCCATTATAAAATTGGCTTGCTACACCATGGATCTGTCTGTATTGTGGGTTTAATTAAGCTCTTCATTCAACTTTTAATTATATTCTCTGTTTGTTTAAAATATATGTGTATGTCAATATATCCCTTATCTAGTTGGTCAGTTCACTTGGACCTCCTGTACCTTTTCCACACCCTGCCGCCTACCTAAAATGTGATATTGACAGATTGATTGATTCATTAGAGGCCCATTGAAGGGTATTTTTACAAAATCTCTTATGTAAGAACTTGTTAAGAACAAAAGCAAAAATGTTACTTTATTACAGAAATTTGGCAACAATATGTTTTGTGAAAGTGCTGGTAATTTCAGCCCTGTGGTAGGGCCACTCTTTTCAGAGTGAGAGCACATTCAATGTTGAAAAAGTGTGGTTTGTGTTTTCTCTGAAAGGCATGATCTTAACTTAAAAATCTGCCTGTTGGGACGTAAGAAGGAGTTTGGCAATGTGAACTTTTGTCTGCTGTGAGACTGCCAAGTTCCTAGTCTCAAATTGGATTTTAACCCTGACATTAGGGATACAGGCATCATTTTCCATTGTTAATGCTTTAGTTCCTACAGTTCCTGTTCTTAGAAGACAAAATAGACCTAAGGTATGCCTTCTTTTTTCTCCTTGAGTTAAAAATCTTTTCGGAATTTCCTAAGTGTTTACTCTTTGAATTGACCTCTCCATACAAAAATTTGTCTTCTTCTGTTATTTTTATATATGTTTTTCAAGTAGAAATTTTATATTTAAACACTTGGAACACTTTAGAATATGTGACTGCTTCATAAGCAGAGCAGAAAGAAGTTTGCTGTTTTACCACAGAACTTTTAGTAGAGATGTTTCGTGCCATTTCATGCCATTCTAAACTTAGATTAGCAGTTTGCTCTTTGGTATGGGTGCCTGAAATGTAAGTCAGTATATCTAAGTGTGCCTCTAGAAATTCTTCAAAATCTATACCTGCTTGGAAATAAGTTGACTTGAAATAAAAATCATATGAAACGCTAACAGCTTTAATTGTGACTGTTACAAGTGGAAAGTAATTGATACCCATGCAGCTTTTCCTGAACAAATCAAATGTTTTAAACAGTAATGCAAATTTAAAACTACTTAAAATTTGTCTATCATAACGATCATTGTTTTAACTTAGTTATATCTAGCTTCAGTATGTGAAAATTAGTTTTATCCACACCAATTCTTTTAAAAATCCGCTAACTAGCCTTCAGGTTAGATGAGGGTAACACCTAGGAGGTCAGGGTTACTTGTTCCTTTTCTTTGTAGATAGGTCTGCAAAAAGAAATTATTCCATGCACGCTTGCTCACAAACCCCTGTGAGCTAGAAGGGGACAGGCAGTTGTCTGGCCAGCTCATAATCCTGCGGCCTGTCACTGCTGCTGGAAGAAGTGTGCCCCTGCGTGGCCTGCCAAGGGGTCTGTTCTGGTTGTAAGGGAAAGGTAGCATGACGGGGCCTAAACCAGTCTGCCACTGGTTTAGTCTTCCCTTTAAGTAACACTGGGTTTTAGAGCATGTAAATGAAAGGTATTAGTACCTTTCAGAACTGCAATGAAATTCTTAGATGAACTGCAAAATTACTATTCATTCCTAATCAGTTAATTTTAACTACACATATCCTTACCTGTCCCAGTCTGTTTTTCCCTTTCAAAGTGTTCCATCTTAAAGCGGTTCTGTATTTAACGTGGTGACAAATGATGGAGAGTTTACTTTGGTCTCAGTGCTAAGTGTTCAGATGTTACATGTTAGGAAAATAAAGACTCACATCCATTTCCTTTGCTGAAGAAACTGCATTAATTTTTACAAGTGTCATTTGCTTAGTGAGGTTTGTAACAGGCAGATTTTAAAAATTATACTCTGAGTACCAAAAAGACTTGAAAGTTTGAGAATTAAGTAAACTAAATTAAAAGAAGTCTGTGGCACAAGAGAAACCAAGGTGGTTTTCTCTGGGTGGTAGTCTTTTTTTTCCTTCTCTCTTTTTTAAAGAATTTATCTGGGTTTTAAATGTCTTATACAAAATAATATGTTCAATTTATAATTAAAAACAATCCCAATTTAAATATGCATAGTCAGAAGTATACCTATGTTTGTCTTAAATTTTTTCTGAGTTTCTAAAGAAGTCTTTATATTTGCTTTATCTACATAAATGTGTATTTTGTTGATTCTGATGTGTTTTAGGCTAGGAAATTTTATTACTTTATTCTGCTCTTCTAAAACAAGACATAACTAGCAATTTTATTTATACTTTGGTTGAAAGTCTAAGATAAACTCACATTATAGTCCTTTATATCTAATAATCAGGTGTTTTGATGAATCATTTTGTGTGTATGTGGGATACATTTTTTTTTGAGATACATTATTTTGAATTGTGTTTCACACCCTGAAATTGTAGTTATCTTGAGACTGGTTTAAATTTTTGTTATTTTTATTATAACAAATAAGATGAGGAAACACTATGCTTTTGGTATGCAAGGTTATATTGATTTGTTCTTTATAAAGTGTTTTGAAGTTGTACTTCAGTGACCTAAGACTGTTTGTTGCTTCCCTAAATAAGGAATAACCTTACTTTCTTAGGATCAGGATTAATTGGAAAATTTTTATTGAAGACAGAGCAAGTTAAAGTGAACTAAAAGGTGATGCGTTACATGATAACGCGTTGGAGCTGAAGAAAAGAGCTGCAAGAAAATTGCTGATGTTTCTGTTTTCTTGCCCAGATACGTAGGCAACCTCTCCAGAGATGTGACAGAAGTCCTTATCCTTCAGTTGTTCAGTCAGATTGGACCCTGTAAAAGCTGTAAAATGATAACAGAGGTAAGACCTCCCCAGTTCCAGTGCTGACAGTGGGCATGGTGGTGGTCAGCGTTTTGAGATACTGAGTTGGTTTGTATTATCTTAAAATAACTTTTTAAGCCTCAAGTTATTCTGATGGAGAGATTTGTGTTTGTTGTGTTGACTTACTACTTTGATCTGACTGACAATCTAGGTTTGGAAGGGGGTTTTCTTTTTGAGGACGACTTACCTCGGTGTTGAAAAACCAGATGACATTTCATGCGATTCAACAAGAGTGTTATGGGTTCAGATAGTATGCGTTTAAGTTTAGGGGTTGGTGTGTGTGAAAGAATACTGGGTTAGTACCTGCATAGTGCAGCACTGTGCGTCTTGTGTATTTTTAGTAGATACTACTGACTGAGCAGCCTATTGTAGGTAGGAGTTTAAATTGTTAGCATAATAATTTTGTTTTCCTTTTTTTTTTTTTTGAAAGAAAACTACCTTTGATACTTTTGTGGTTATGACTCTGGCAGTGTCCAGTGACACTTGTGTTTCAGTTTATTCTCTTCCTCTTTGTTTAATCAACACATTTTTTTGGTATTATTTACTGTGTACAGGGTATTATGGTAAGTGCTAGGGAAAGATTGGTGAATGAGTTTCTAGCCCCAGAGAGTTGTCCAGTGTAACGAGGGAGACAGAGGAGTTCGCGGGCACTGATGATACAGGGTAATACATGCCGTGGGAGCAGTTTCCAGTGCGGTGGGAGCACAGGGTCCCAGCACAGTCTGCAGTCTGGAGAGGCTTCTCAGAGGAGTCAGTGTCCAGGCTGAAACTGAAAAGGGTGGTAATGGGAACTGGCTAGAAAGGAATCAGAGGGAGAAGGGATTCCAGGTCGAGGAGTATTGATCTGCTCTGGTAGACGGAGTGGAAATGCTTGTGAGAGCCAGAGAGGGCGTGTAGACATTGCAGCACGCCTGGAGTTTCCAGGGGGTTGAGTAGTCCTGGAGGTGCGGGGAGACGGGACAGGAGGGTTCGGGAGCGGCCGGAGGCTGCTCGGGAGTTTGGTTACGTCCCGAGACGGGGGAAGTGTGGAAGAACCTGTGAAGCACATCGGCCTTTCCATCTTTTTTCCTAACGGTCCTCATCGGTCTTTTCTGGCGTATTGTGGTTTCTCTCCTTCCTAGCTCTGATTATTTATTTATTCTTTTCTCTCTCTTTTTTTTTTCATTAACCAGAATTTATTTTGTGCTAGGCAACATTCAAAGCTGGGACTATGAAGAGACTGGGGCAGTTCTGTGATGGAGCTTGGAGGGCTGGTCTCTGTGGGCTAGGTGGTGGAGGAAGGTGTCGCCTCCTGGAGCGGAGAGGCGCTCCAGGAGGCGACACCTCCTGTCCAGCCTGGACAGGGCTGACAAAATAGCACCATCAGTGTCAAGAGCCGGAAGCGTAGGGCACGGCGCATGCAAAGGTCTTGAGTTGGTAACGAGCGTGGTGTGTCGGCGCGATCGAAGTCAGGATAGCTGGAGGCTGGTGCGTGGGGGCAGGCTTCGGGGCGTGAGTCTGAAAGAGGTGGGCAGGCAGGGCTTGGAATCGCATAGGGCAGTGCAGTCCCTGATAGAGACTGGCTTCTACTCTGCTTGCCCTGAGGTGTTAAATAGGGTGATGCTTTCTGGTGTGTATTTTTAAGTTGCTCTATTTGGAGAATGACTGTGGGGAGAAGGGATCGTTCGGGCAGGAGCGGCAAGAAGGAGAGCAGCTGGGTTATTTCACTCGTCTAGGTAAGAGGTGACGTGGACCTGTTCTCTAGAATGGTGGCTGTAAAAACAGGTGTGTAAATTTGGGGTACATTTTGGAGGTAGATACAATAGGACTAAGTTGGCTGTGGGACATAATGGAAAAGAAGACATCAGGAATGACCCTAAGATTCTTGTTTGTTTAGTTACATGGATGGTAGTGCTGTTCATTTGCTAAAATGGGCATGACTGCGGGAGACGCAGGATGCGTGGGAGGAGTGGTGGGATCGGGAACTTTGTTTCTGCAATGCAGAATTTAAGGTGTGCGTTAGACAGCTAAACGGACTTCATATGTAGCCAGTGGGATAAACTAGGTGGGAACTCTAGAGAGCCAGTGCCGCGACACCAGCTTGCAGCAGTGTTTGAGCCACGGGGCTCAGTGGCATCTGGTTCCTGGACCAGAGGGAGTGCTGAGGGGAAGAGTGGGGGGCCCCGGGGTGGCAGCACTTGGGCAGTTGGAGTCTGAGCCCGGGAGGAGGGACTGCCTTTTGAAAGACCTCCACCCCCACCCCGCCCCCCGCCCTGCACCCCGCAAGGGGCAAACAGAAAAGCCCAGAGAGTCTAGTGGCATGTAAAGAAGAATGCTTAAAGGAGGGCAGGGGAGTTGTCGGCTGTTCTGAATTCTGCGTGCAGGTCAAGGTGAGGACAGAAGAGGGACCGCAGAGGAGGTGGCAGGGAGGTCATCGGTGACTTCCACATGAAGTTTCCGTGGCAGTGGGTTTAGGAGAGAATGGGATGTGAAAAACTGGGAAGGGTCACTAGAAAATTTTGGGGGAACATTTGATAAAGATTCAGTGTTTTAAAAAACCTGCAGGACCAGCCATTTTAGAGGTAGAGGGATTTGAAATGAACTTTCAGAATTTATCCAAATTCTACAGCTCCCACACCTAAATTTGTGAATAGTCATGAGACTTCGTATTTCTCTGTCCTGACCTTCATGTCATCCAGCAAACATTGGTGAGGACAGTAGTTGAGGCCACAGGTGATGTTAGTGTCACTTGCAGTGGTGCGCGGGAAGCTTCTGAAGGGCGTGAACTCTGCTAGGGACTGTGGGGGCATTTATCTTCCGTTCATGCGTTTCATTGCAGCATGTGAAAAATTCTTACTGTTAGATTCTAGCTTTCCCTGTATACTATAATAAATGTATATTATTCAGTCTAAGGCAAACCTGAGTGTTTTTTGAAGATTTTATTTATTTATTTTTAGAGAGGGGGAAGGGAAGGAGATAGAGAAGGAGAGAAATATCAGTGCGTGGTTGCCTCCCATAAAACACCCACTGGGGACCTGGCCTGCAACGCAGGCATGTGCCCTGACTGGGAATCGGACCGGCAGCCTTTGGTTTGCAGGCCGTTGTTCAATCTACTGAGCTACACCAGCCAGGGCCAAACATTAAAAGTTTTTAATACATCTGCCAGCTGGGATGTGAGCGAAGTCAGTGGGGCCTTAGATGGGACCCCACCTGAGTGATGTGAGTGTATAGAATGTGTGTGCGCGCGCATTGTGTTGAGGGGTCCGGCCTGCTGCCGCTTAGATGAACTCGAGTCAGTGTGCGTGAAGAGAGTGGTCACCAGAGCCTGGGGCTGCCGCGGGGCTGCCGTCCCTCTGCCGCGGTTCTCCGCGCTCCGCGGACAGCGCAGGGCAGGGGAGGCGGCACCGGTACCCACAAGCACAGTTCCAGCCTGTTTACCTTTAGCACCCTGTCTTCAGTGAGTGTTATTGGTAAACGTCAGCTTTTTTACAAGAGGAATCTAAGTGCAACTTTTATTTGGAGTCTTTCCCCTCGTTTTCTTTCCTAATTTTTAAGGACAGCGCCATGTGGCTGTGATGGTAGGATTTCGTGTGGGGTCCCGGTAGTTTTCTTGGCGGTATTAATGAGCATGCTTTTCTTCCCCCTCAAGGAAGTGCCTCTGGTTGCTTCGCCACTGTTGTTTTATGCGGCTTACTTTGGATTTTTCTTCTAAAACTTTCCTGGAGTGAAAAACAGTGGTTGTTGAAAAAAGCTCTTTATTTTATCTGACATTTTTATATTTTGTGAGTGCAACTAGAATTCCACATTTTAAATATTATTTTTAGGGCATTTTACCTGAACCATGATGAATATTTTTAACCTTACATAAAAAATATATATTTTACAGTTGTATAGCTCTCTGATGTAGGCTGCAGTTTTATAAAATTGACTTTCATTTAGGTTTTTGGGTGATAGAGTTGCTATAACAGTAGTACTACTTTCTCATTGTCTTTCTAAATACTTGCCAATTACTGTCAAGCGTGAGGTAGAATATATTTAATAAAGATTTCTTGGCAGTGTTTTTGTGATATAAAATTGTAGCTTTGTCCTGAAACATTTTATTCAGACATTTTTAGAAATTTTTTTCTTGACCACTGGTGTGTTTTCCTGGTCTTTGAAGACCAAATTCAAAAGTATATAGAATCTCCAGTACATTAATATATTTGGAAAGATGGGGAATTCATTTCAATAGCTTGTTTTCTGAACTTTTTCAAGTTTTATTCTCATTCCTTTCTGATCTATAAAAAGTACATAATCTCGTCTCATCATATACAGTGCTAGTCAGGAGTAAAGTTTGTCAAGTTCGTTCATTTCTATATTTTTTATCGTCATGGCCTACAGTTAATGAAGGATTATGGTGCATAAATAGAATTCATCCTTTTGAAAATAATGTTGGGAGAGAAGAGCAGTGGTAAGGAAGTAGTCCTCCTCCATCAGCTCCGAACCCGAGGTTTTGTTTGGTCTAATACAGACTTCTGCCTTACACTCATCACACTTCACCAGGGTTCTGCAGTTCGGTTTCGTATTGACAGTCATGCTTCTGTGCTGCTGACAGTCCTGTTGAGGCACGACAGTAGCCCGCGATGTAAAGTCAGGTCTAGCTGTGAATCTGTTTGTAAAGTGTTAGGCTTTCATAAGCTTATGCAATCTCATCTGTACATTCCTAGCTATCAGTAATGTTTTTTCCTGGATTTTCTTCTCAGCAACCCGATAGCAGAAGGGTCAACTCTTCTGTTGGATTTTCTGTTTTGCAGCATACAAGCAATGACCCATATTGCTTTGTGGAATTTTATGAACACAGAGATGCAGCTGCTGCATTAGCTGCTATGAATGGGAGAAAAATTTTGGGGAAGGTAAGATAAGAGAATGAGTGTCTGAGTGTATGTATTCGCATGTCATACTAATTGGCATTCCTTCTGAGCAAGTTTTTAAATGAATATTCAGCTCTGCTGGGTGATGGTTTTGCTTTATTCAGCCTAGTGCTTTTACAAATATTATCCTTGATAAGTGATTTTAAAGTGGTAAGTGTTACTGTTTTTAATGACATGTCTAATAATTGTATTAAATATAATCTTTATTTTAGGAGGTCAAAGTAAACTGGGCAACAACACCAAGTAGCCAGAAAAAAGATACTTCCAGTAAGTACACCTGCTGCATTTTACTGTGGAAGAGTTCTGAAATTATCCTGGCAGCATTACCAGCTTAAATAGGGTTTTTCTTCCCTTAGTGTTGCCTATAAAAGGTTTAGCAGCTGACTTCTTAAGTATTTGATTACCAAATGCTTTGATTTCAGATCACTTCCATGTGTTTGTTGGGGATTTGAGTCCAGAAATTACAACAGAAGATATCAAATCAGCATTCGCCCCCTTTGGTAAAATATCGTAAGTATCATAATTAATATTATACTCAGTAGTGACAGGCAAAATTGTGTATAATTAACTTGTATTAGAATTAAGCTTTTCTTTCCCTGGTTAGTGTGATTTTTTTGTTTGTTTCATTATTTTTGATTAGTAGATGTTGTTGAAAATGTTAATGTCATTTTACTGTTTTGGGGTCTTGTTTTTATCTAATCCTCTGTATAATATGTTTAAAAATTTTAAGTGATTCTGTTTGTTATCTTTGAAGCAAGATGTTTGGGTGGTAAAAACTATTATAACGTTCAACTTTTTGTCAAATGTTTTCAGTATTTGGTGGGTAAAGATAATGGGTTAACCAAAAATAAATGTGATTTATATTGTGTATTAAACTTTTTATAAGTGGGGGAAAATAGCTAAATCCTTGGGTATATCGTGGTTAAGTTGGAAATGTGTATGTTTAATTATAATGATAAATGTGTTTTACTATTATAGCTGAAAAGTAGTACTGTTATAATATTAAAATGTTTCAATGTCCGAGCCATAAATTTGGGATTAATTAGTAGTTTGTGGGGGTGGGGGGTTGTTTTTTCTGTGTTGTTCTTTTTGTTAGTGGTGTTTTACTCTGCTAGTCAGGGCTCACATGTGGTTTGATTTTTAACACAGTTTATGCTCAAGTTTCACTGTATGTTACTTGATCAAATATATTGGAAAATTAAAAGTGGTTATGATTCTATAAAATGTTTATCCTAATTTATCTTTTGATTAAGATCTGCTTATTTTATGTATTTCCTGTAGATGTAAATTAAATGTTCTAATATTACAGGAATATGTTTCAACTAAGAACAACAATATTATTCTGTGTACAATTTGTTGTTCTATAGATTTAACTTATTTGAAAGAAAGACTTAATTCTTAATTTTCTATTTTGATATTTGCTTTGCTTTTTAATCTTTAATGTGGTAAGTAGTGCTGTTTTAAAAATCAGTGTAAAAAATAATACAGGTTGCTGTTTTTCAGTCTTTATTTATACCTGAGACCTGCAGTTTTTCTAAGTCCAAGTCACAATTAAAAGTAATAGCATTCTGGTTATTTTGCAGAATTGCTCATAAGAATGGACAGGATCTTGAAGGCTAACTGCAAGGAACTGTGCACACTGGAACTCAGTTGTAGATTTTTTTCTCATTTCTATTTATTCTTATTATACATTATTTATATATACATACTTTAGTATTTACATTTTAACATTCTATATTCAGTGGAGTTCTATATTTCCAATCATTTTAACTTACTCACTAAAATTTCTGTGTAAATTTGTTGTTTTCGTACTGGTGTGCTTAGCATTGTTGTTAGTTTTTTATTCTCCTTTCTTAAATTTCTGAAAATGTCAATTTTTCAAAATTTACAGCTGCCCAAACTCCAAAATGATGATAGAGAATTGACCAAGAAAAATAAAGAAATCTGTTAACAGGCCATGTATGCCTTTTTAATTCCTATTTTTTCCTCTTTTTCAATTTTTTAATATTTCATATATTTTGTATCACTAGGCAGAAGACATTTAACTATTTAGAGATTGCATGGTAAAGTAGTTAGCATTGTTACAGTAATTTATAGAATCAGTAAACCTTAGAGGACACTAGCCTATAGAGTATTAGAAAAGGAAACTATTGTTCCTGTTAATCTTCAGATTTGAGCATTTAGTTTAGAAAGCACAGGCTATTTGATTAGGTTGCATGTTTATTACATGTTTTTGTCCTACTGCTTTTTTCTAACAGGTAAAGAAGCGTTAGGGAGAGTTCAGGAATGGTTGTAGTTAAATAGGGCTAACTGAAATTTTATTTAAAAAAATGCTCACAATACAGTGTGTGTGGTTCCTTTTAGTTTTTATTTGGAGAATAACTCTTACTTCCCTCATTTAGCTGTGCTTCTTTTCACAGGGATGCCCGAGTAGTTAAAGACATGGCGACTGGAAAATCCAAAGGCTATGGTTTTGTGTCTTTTTATAACAAACTGGTACGTTCTTTCAGCTTAACTTAAATGTAATACAGAATTTAGTCATTAATTAATCTGAAACTTCAATATTCTGAGATGTTAACTACAAACAGCTTTGGTGTAGTTTTTGGTGTTTTAATAATAGAGTATAATTCACTGACTTTCCGCAAGTGTGGAGGTAAATAGCTGGTTATAGGAAGAGTATCAGTGCTGCCTTTGTGCTTTGGTGAGGGTCAGAGGCAGTGCCGGAGCAGGTGATGTAAATGAAAATTGACACAGTTCATCTTGATTTTTTTAAAGCATTTGCATTAACTATAACATGAGATAGTAAAGTAGATTTTATTAGCATTTTAGAACTGTTTCTAAATTAAACTTAAACTTAAATTACCTTTATTTTATTGAAGCAGTCAGATAAAGGATAGGAGTCATATACTTTGCTTAGGTTCATTAAAAATTCAAATTCTGAGAGTCTAAACTCATTTTTTATTGGCAGTTATTTTATGGCATTCTACTATAATGTAGAGACTTCAATGGGTTTTTTTTTGTTTCTTTTGTAATCGATGGGGTTATGGTGTTTTTCTTGCACATTTGAATTGATAAATTTCCCTGATGCTTAACTGCTGTCCTGGTATTTTGAAATCTATAAATAATAATAGTTTTTATTAATTGCTTGATTTAAGTCTTTTCTTGTGGTACTAGCTCAGTTTTGTTTAGAATGTCTAGCGAATCCATTTACTGATAAGACTCACGGGCTCCAACAGTGCCAGCATTTTGTTTTGTCTTACTGGGTATCTACACCAGTATTTCCTGTTTGAGCGCTCTCCCTTTCTCTCTCTCTCTCCCCGTAGGATGCAGAAAATGCAATCGTGCACATGGGAGGTCAGTGGTTGGGTGGTCGTCAAATCAGAACCAACTGGGCCACGCGGAAACCGCCTGCACCTAAAAGTACACAAGAAAGTAAGACACGCCTGCCGTGTACAGTGAACTTGTGGCTGCTTCGCACAATCGTGTATTAGCCTAGTCTTAATTTCTTAAAAATTTCATTAGTATTGCAAGACTCATTTCATCTTGAGTATAATTGTCTGAAAATGATTGGACTTTGATATAAGTGTATTTGGAGCTGTGAACCAGCTGATACTGTAGATCAAATCACAGTATCAAGAAAAAAATTCCGTTTTCCCCCAAATGGGGCATATCTTAACTAAAATATAGTAGTCGTTTTATAATACTGTACAGCCATCAGCATTCTTGTTCTCTCTGTGTGTATAGATAACACTAAGCAGCTGAGATTTGAAGATGTAGTGAACCAGTCAAGTCCAAAAAATTGTACTGTGTACTGTGGAGGAATCGCTTCTGGGTTAACAGGTACAGCGTTTGGTTTTCTGACCTCCTCCTTTGTGGGGCTTCATCACCATTGGTACCGACGTCATGGTAAACGTGAACCTTAAGTCGTCTTTTTGGATGTTTTTGTTTTTCAGATCAACTTATGAGACAAACATTCTCACCATTTGGACAAATCATGGAAATAAGAGTTTTTCCAGAGAAGGGCTATTCATTTGTCAGGTAAAATTTTACTTGCAATACTATTACTCTTGCACGTGACCCATCCCTTTCGGTGGAGGTGGTTGACCCCCCCAGGTGTCCGAGTCTGTTTTGTTGGCACTTCCTTGCAGTGTAGAACTTCAGACTGCCTGCATGGTGTACTGTGGGGTGCCGGTACCAAGGTGGTGCTTGTAGACTAACGAGTGCCTGTTATTTGTTGTGTTAAATTCTTTTTAAAAAAAGACACACCAAAAAACCTTACTTTTTTTCTCTTAGATTTTCGACCCACGAGAGTGCGGCCCATGCCATTGTTTCGGTGAATGGCACCACGATCGAAGGACATGTTGTTAAATGCTATTGGGGTAAAGAATCTCCTGATATGACTAAAAACTTCCAACAGGTAATTCGATTTTTCACAGCACTTTTTACGGTTTCTGTCTTACACGTCTACATAAATGCTTTAGAAGCTGAAACAAAAAAATAAGGCATATATCTGCTTTCAGTTGATTTTATTAATGCTATTTCAAAAGTGATTATTTTGTGGTATTAACTGAATCTTAATACTTTCTTTTCGCAGGTGTCACCACCCCAATAAACTTAGACAATGATAAATAACAGAGTCCTATTCACATAAGGGTGCTTAGTTTTTCTCTTCCTTGTCTCCCACTTTCTTCAAATACTGTGTTCTTACTTGTTCCCTAAAACAGCCATCTGCTTTGTCCTAGGTCGACTACAGCCAGTGGGGCCAGTGGGGCCAGGTCTACGGCAACCCGCAGCAGTACGGGCAGTACATGGCCAACGGGTGGCAAGTGCCGCCCTACGGAGTGTACGGGCAGCCGTGGAACCAGCAAGGATTCGGAGTAGAGTAAGTTTGGGTCTTTCCGGTACAGAAACAGGCACGGTTCTGACAAAAGACAGAAAAAGGTGTTCTCCTAGGGAGGATCTATTTAAGTTAAATATACTGAACTATTTGGAATTATAAACACTTCAGAAATCTTATGAAAAATGATTCATGATGCTAAATCTGTTTCTTACTACCTAGGTGAAAAGAGAGGTGGGGGTAGCATTTGGCGTGTCCTGCTTCCTCCATAAGCAGTTGGTAGAATTTGATTTAATTTCTGACATACTATTTTATGTACTTATTTTTGTATGGAGAAGATTTTTGTCCAGATAGGTTCAGAAATCGAATGATTCATACCTGTTGGCTTGTGTCAGAAGTCTGAGAGAGTTACCCGATTTAAAAAAAAAAAAAGTAGCTTGCTTCCCCGGCTCGGTTGCCCAGTTGGTCAGAGCGTGGTCCCTGCACACCAAGGTGGCAGATGTGACCCCAGTCAGGGCACCTCTAGGGGTCAGCCAGTGAGTGGTAAATAAGTGGAGCAACAAAGAGATGTTTTCTTCTTCTTCTCTCTCTCTCTCTCTCCCCCTCTCTCCCCCCCTCCCCCTCTCCCCCCTCTCTCAAAATAAATAAATAAATAATTTTTAAAGTAGCTTGCTTTTTTGTTGTTGTTGCTGCTGCTGGAGTGGGCTGGTCCTTCGTCCTTTTATCCCCCCGGGTCAGCCCACTCGTTCCTTCTACCTTCTCTTTTCAACATGAAGTTGTGTTTTTAAAGTTTCTTGTAATTTTACAGTGTCATGTGCAGGTAGATGATGTGTTGAATCATTTCGTCATTTTTAAAGAAATTAGTTTTGAGATACTCTTCAGAGAAGTCATTGTGTTAAGTTGTGGTTATTAACAAAAATTTAAGACCAATATTGTAATATGTATTTTACGTATATGGCTATGCATCTTTTTTTTTCGCTCTTTATTACAGGTTTGTTGATTTCTTGTCTATTCTATGATTTTGCTGTGCTTGATTTTTATATAAATGTATAGATAATTTTTCCTTTGTGTTTACTGAAGATTTTCCTTTTTCCTTTCCAAGTCAATCACCTTCTGCTGCTTGGATGGGTGGATTTGGTGCTCAGCCTCCCCAAGGACAAGCTCCTCCCCCCCCTGTAATACCTCCTCCTAACCAAGCTGGATATGGTATGGCAAGTTACCAAACGCAGTGAGCTGGGACTCTGAACACAGTTGTAATTCACGATAGCTTCAGTTTCCTGTGACACTCTGAAGACATGGAAGTAGACATCGGAAAATGGAAATATTTATTTTAAAAATGGAAATGTTTGGAACCTTTAGCACAGCTTTGCTTTGGTGAAGGACACGTGTCTTCTAGTTCTGCCTTTTTAAGTTTTTGTTCATGATGGATATGAACATGATTTTTCTTTGTGTACAAAAACTAAAATAAAGTCAATAAAGACAATTCTGACTACAAATTTTGATATAATAGGAAAAAATGGGTAATACATTTTGATTATTAGATACGATTCCATTTTTATCTTGCTGTTCAGTATTTTAACCCACTGTTTTTAAAAGAGTGAAAACAGGGAGGATCGTGAACCACCGGGAATCACACATAAGTTCGTCCTGAACCTTGGTGTGCCCCCCCTCCCCTGAGGTGGACCGCATTTGGAGTCAGCGGGGGGAAAATTGCTATTGAGAAGAAATGCGTGGTTTTGGAGTCGCGTTGGAGGAAGTACTTTATGCTTAAAGAAACTGAAGCCAGACTGATAAAGAAATTTTGCAACCTAAATAAGAAACAGCATTGAGTTACTTGAGCAAATATTGGTGGTCCACGTTAAGACATATTTTTAAGAATTTAAGAAGTGTTACTTATTAAAACTGTAGTAAATGACATTTCATTTTGGGGGGAAATTCCAAGTATGGTGTTTGTATTAAAGTCAGACATTCATACTTGTGCTTTCACATGAAGTTTAAATGATAGACATTGTAAATATTAACTACAGTGTTTAAAAGCATGCTTCACCATAGAAGTAGCAATGTAATTATTCGAAGTAACATTTAACGCAGTCCACTGCATTGAGTGCAATGGACTGATGAGAATGTTTCAGACTGACATTTCCAAGGTTGGCTACTATGTAAAATTAAAATTATACAAATTACAGAAAAAGCCTTAATTTTAATTTCATACAAATCTTTGATGCATTAGTACATTTTAAAATGTCATCGGAAATTAGATTTTTTCTTTGATTTTTTTTTTCCTTTGCTTTACATCACTTGGTATGTAAATACCTTGACTAAAACCTTATAAACTATTTCAAGGTTCCTATAAATTGTATAATACAAGTGTTTTTTAAAAAATCTTGGGGTGTTTTTTAAAATTAGATATATTTTGCCCAAGAATTTTTTAAATAAGATGGCTGAAACATTAGACCATTCCGTGTACCAATTTGTAATCGGATATTCAGCTTACCGAGTACACGGAGTTGGGACTTTTATTTCTCACTGAACGGCTTTTCTTGTGCGGTGGGGTGCCCGGGTGCCACGCCTGAACAGAGGCGGGGCTGTGTGCCTGCAGGGTTCGAGGTGAGTCCGCCGGGTGGGTCGGTAAGGCTGGGGTCTGCCTCTGAGGTACTTCTCAGGCTATGTGGGTGAAACCTGCCTCAAATTTCTGTCGTAATAGGAATGTAAACAAGAAGACCCTATGTGTTTCAGTTCCGACAGCTAGGGGGTGCAAGTGTGCAGGCAGTGAACGCGAGGTGTCTCGGGGCCTGTGCACAAAAATGAGAAAGCGCTACAGTTAAGTAGTAAGTTGCCACTGATACCGCAGATTGCTGCTTAAAGTTACGTCTTACAGTTTGCTTTGGAATAATGATGGCTTTATACATTGGTAACTACGATAATTCTGGTATTTTCTCCCCCCGTTTAGAAATACAGCCAGATGTTCTTAAAGCTGAGAACGAACGGAGGGGGAAGTCCGCCCGGGGGCCGGTTTCTCCGGCACACTGGTTGTGGCCGCGGCGGTCCCCTCCCGTGCTCCTCTGTCCCAGCGCGTCCCCGTGTTCCTTCTGTCCGTGGTCCGTGTCTCGGGGGGGTCGTGGAAAAGTTCTATTTTATAAGGAAAACACTCAAATTATATCAATTATGCCTCCTAGTGAAAAATTTCTTGAATACATGTGAAACTTGAACAATTAAAGACTTTTTTAATATATTGATAAAAGCCTATTAAATTCTCAGTTTGCCTTTTTTGGTCTGCCAGTAAATTGAGTAGCTTGTGGCGGTAACAGCGAAATACAGCTACGGTGTTTCCTAGTTGTGCATTCTGTGAGTTAATAAAAGCATAAGGACTGATTATATTGCCATAGTAAACATACGAAGTGTCCTTTGTCTTAATCTGGAAGAGAACAAGATTTCATGATCAGTTAAGTTAATGGAAGCATCTCGTAGCGAATGGGTTTTTAAAAACGTGAAGCTCCTTATCCGAGTGGAATGCGCCATTTATTTTTTGTTGTACTTTCCATCACCACTTAGTCCCCCATACTCCCTTTCCCCCGCCGCCACCACACCGTTGCCCACGTGCGTGAGTCCCCGCTCCCTTACGAAATGCCCGGTGTCAGCGTGCAGCTGTCAGCTCACAGACTGAGAACGGTGAGGCCCGTGCTCTCTCCGTCTGATTTAAGCCCAGCAATCATTGCCTTCTTCCACGCTCACTCGAAGCCCCAGATTCTGCGGCATGCAGGCTCTGTCTCTCGTTTTGTAATTCTTTCAAGATGGGTTCTGGTGATGTGTCTCTGACTGCCATCTTGAATAAATCTCTCTACTAGGATTTCCCCACGTGGCATTCGCACTTGATTTTGATGTCTGCTGGCAGGGAGAGGCTAAAGTGACTGGCCAACTTAAGCCCAAAACTGTAAACCGTAGTTGAAGTAAGTCTTTCAATAAACACTAGACTGTATGCTAAGTGGCCTTTTCTTATTGTCATTTATTTATTATGTAATTATTCCTTCCAGGCTGCCGTGAAGTAAGCAATTTTATTCGGAAGGCATGTGGAGTACACACATTCAGGACCTGTTTCTGTGTTCTGTATAAGCATTAAAAGTCCATTAGCTTATTAGTCCCTGACCAGCGTTGCTCAGTGGGTTGGGCGTCAACCCGCAAAGCGAAAGGTCGCACGCAGGTTTGGTTCCGGTCCGGGCCCGTGCCTGGGTTGCAGGCCAGGTCCCTGGGTGGGGGTGTGCAAGAGGCAACTGGTAACTGTTTCTCTCCCTCTCTTCCTCCCTCCCTGCTTTCCCCTCTAAAAATCAATAATAAAGAAACAACATTTTAAGGCTTTAAAAATGCATTAGCTTTGTTGAAGTAAAACTTAATTTCTAGATATGGAGGAGTAGAAACTTCTGTCCTTCTGGAAATATGTGCTCTGTTGAATACTAATGTAATAACAACCTCAGTTTAGAGTCCACACATGGAAAACACTATTCACTCTGCCTAGGTTGATCCTCAGTAGTGAGTAAAGATTGCATTTGACAAAAAAATAAGAGTTCAGTAAATTATGTGGACACTTCTGTGGCAGGTATGCCCGATTTAAATCTCACCTATTAAAGTCAGCAGTTGGGCCCTGGCTGGTGTGAGTGAGCGGACTGTGTGCTGGTCTGCAAACCGGAAGGTCATCGGTTCGATTCCCAGTCAGGCCACGTGCCTGGATTGCAGGCCAGGTCCTCAGCTCGGGGCGTGCCAGACGCACCCGACAGATGTATCTCTCACACATCAATGTTTCCTTCTCTCTAAAAATAAAATCTTTTAAAAAAATAGCATTTGGGCTTCTACTTGGTAGTACATTAAACATTGAACTTGCATTTTTAGTATGCATTGGAAAGGAAAGAATGACTTAGGTTTTTACTAATAATTTATGTAAGCCTTAAATGGTCCAAATGAGCAAGTTTTGTTAAATATGAATTCTGCTATTGTGTAGTAATAAAATGCCCTCCTTAATTGTGTTCAAATAGGTTAATATGAATTAGATTGCTATGTGCTATTTCTAAATAAGGAAATAATGTGAATAATTATGACTTTAAAAAATGTTTGTTATTCCCAATTGTAATATAGTAGTTAAATACTGTACTAATATGAAACCTGGGCTTCTGAAACTGAGTCTGTTTTGAAAATCAATGCAGGTAGGCTAGAAACTCATTCACCAGGTCCTTTGTGTAAAGATCTCTTAGGGACAAGAATGACTTCGTTTTAGAATTGCCTAAATGTGAAGGAAGTTCAATTTCTCTTTAGGAAATAGAGAAGGGAAAATATGTAATATTTATCTTAGTCAAAGGAAGGGGAGGGGGCACTAATAGTAATTGACCCGCTTGCCAAGTTAGGCTTTTGTTCAAGGGAAGAGAGAGGGTCATCCACACAACGCTCGGTAGTTGGGTTGTTACACAGAAAGGTCAGTAATGGTTCATGAAAGGTGTGTATCTAATAAATGATTTCCACAACTTAGTTGTAACACTTAAGCTAAATTTTAACTTTCCCAAATTGCTGTTTGGCTGTTTTTATTTAACTGAGTAGCCGTTGCCTTTCTAAGCCGTTGCTCTGGAGAGGTGACTGTTCACACCCACTGTCAGCATCTTGGCGTCAGCTTGGGGAGTTCACCAAACCTGGAGAACACTGAGGTGTACTGGGGAGCTGTTACAGGAGAGCCTGGACGATTGTGCGTTGAAAAGGAGTCTGTGCACTCGTTGGTTTTGCAGCTGGGCCTAGCGCGCCTGTGGGCGCTGCTTCATTCTCGTGAACTGACGGGGCATGCAGAGGGCCTGGTTGTCGGGCAGTACTGTAGAATCGCGCTTTTAAGGTAAACCAGATTTTGCTGTGCACCATCCTTGCCCAACTGTGATTTTTTTTTTTAATTTGTTTTAGGTTTCTATATCTTTTTTATTTTTCTTGGGTCTTGGTGTACCAATGAAGAGAGGTTCAAGACCTTCTGGACAAAATGGGCATGAAATATGTAGCCATATGCAACTCTGCCTGTTTGGAGGATTGATACTACTATTATATACATTTCATATTTTTACAGTTCATGTAACTGGTTGAGGTATGACTTGAATTGTTGAATTCATGAGTTGGATGTGATTTATGTGTTTACCTTGGCTCACAAAAAATAAAGTTAATTCCTAAGTCTTAACAGAGCTAAACAAAATTGAGAATGCCCACTTAATACATTTTAGTTTGCTTCTTGTTGCAAAAAGATTTTTAGCTAATTTCCTTCGGCTTGGTTATGTGTTAACGTATGGCCTAGGTAAGTCCATGCACATCTTACCAAGAAGACGATGAGACTTACCAAGTTTGCGAAAATAAAATACTATAGACATCTTTGCTTTACTTACAGGCCCTGATCATTTTTACTCAATTTCCTTAAGATGGGTTTTTATTAGCGTGTCTCCTTGTGCATTAGAACGCTGGGCAAATGCTGCT